CCCAAATTCCCTCAATTTTCCCCCAAATTTTTGCATTTTTCCCCCATTTTCACACCCCCAGGTGTGTCCAGGTGTGCCCCAGGTGTCCCTCAGGAGAGCCCAGGTGCCCTCAGGTGTGCCCAGGTGTGCCAAAATTCCCAATTTACCCCAATTTCCCCCCCAGTTTTTGGATTTTTCCCGATTTTCACATCCCCAGGTGCCCCCAGGTGTGCAGAAATTCCCAATTTCCCCCAAATTCTCTCAATTTCCCCCCAAATTTTTGCATTTTTCCCCAAATTTCCCACCCCCAGGTGCCCCCAGGTGCCCCCAGGTGAGCTCAGGTGAGCCCAGGTGTGCCCAAATTCCCAATTTTCCTCCATTTTGCCCCCAATTTTTGCATTTTTCACACCCCCAGGTGTGCCCAGGTGTGCCAAACCCCCCCATTTCCCCCAAAGTTTCTCAATTTCCCCCCTAATTTTTGCGTTTTTCCCGATTTTCACATCCCCAGGTGCTCCCAGGTGTGCCCAGGTGCGCCCAGGTGTGCCCAAATTCCCAATTTCCCTCAGTTTTCTCCCATTTTCCCACCCAAATTTTTGCATTTTCCCCCCATTTTCACACCTCCAGGTGCTCCCAGGTGTGCCCAGGTGCCCTCAGGTGTGCCCAGGTGCGCCCAGGTGAGCCCAAATTCCCCAATTCCCCCAAATTTTCCCCCATTTCCCCCCAAATTTTTGCATTTTTCCCCAAATTTCACACCCCCAGGTGCGCCCAGGTGAGCTCAGGTGAGCCCAAATTCCCCGTTTCCCCCCCAATTTTCCTCCATTTTGCCCCCAATTTTTGCATTTTTCACACCCCCAGGTGTGCCCAGGTGTGCCAAACCCCCCCATTTCCCCCAAAGTTTCTCAATTTCCCCCCTAATTTTTGCGTTTTTCCCGATTTTCACATCCCCAGGTGCTCCCAGGTGTGCCCAGGTGCGCCCAGGTGTGCCCAAATTCCCAATTTCCCTCAGTTTTCTCCCATTTTCCCACCCAAATTTTTGCATTTTCCCCCCATTTTCACACCTCCAGGTGCTCCCAGGTGAGCCCAGGTGCCCTCAGGTGTGCCCAGGTGCGCCCAGGTGTGCCAAAATTCCCAATTTCCCCCAATTTCCCCCCCAGTTTTTGCATTTTTCCCCAAATTTCACACCTCCAGGTGCTCCCAGGTGAGCCCAGGTGCCCCCAGGTGTGCCCAGGTGAGCCCAGGTAACCCCAAACCCCCCAAAATCCCCATTTCTGACCCATTTTCCACCCAAATTTCACCCAGTTTTTTCCGTGTATCCCCTCCCAGCTGCCCCCAGGTGCCCCCAGGTGTGCCCAGGTGCCCCCAGGCGTGCCCAGGTGCCCCCAGGTGCGCCCAGGTGCCCCCAGGTGCGCCCACGCACCCACTGCTGCCCGTAGCTGTCCTGCAGCTCCTGCTCGTGCGCGTCCTCCCAGCGCGGCCGCAGCCCCAGCACCAGCAGCGGCCACCAGCCCTCCTGCGCCATGGCCACGAAGTAATCCACGAACCCCGCGAAGGACTGGATCGCACCTGGGCAGGTGAGACAGGTGAGACAGGTGAGATCACACCTGAGAGCCCTGTGAGCACACACAGGTGAGGTGTCACCAGCCCTCCTGCGCCATGGCCACGAAGTAATCCACAAACCCGGCAAACGACTGGATCGCACCTGGGCAGGTGAGACAGGTGAGACAGCACACCTGGGACAGGTGAGGTCACACCTGAGAGCCCTGTGAGCACACACAGGTGAGTACAGGTGAGTACAGACACCTGCCCTCCTGCGCCATGGCCACGAAGTAATCCACAAACCCGGCAAACGACTGGATCGCACCTGGGCAGGTGAGACAGCGCACCTGAGACAGGTGAGGTCACACCTGAGACAGGTGAGGTCACACCTGGGACAGGTGAGGTCACACCTGAGAGCCCTGTGAGCACACACAGGTGAGGTGCACAGGTGTGCACAGGTGTGTGAGCACACAGGTAACTCAAACCCAGGTGTGCACAGGTGTGCACAGGTGTGTGAGCACACAGGTAACTCAAACCCAGGTGTGTCACAGGTGTGTCACAGGTGCGTGCCCCGCCCAGATGCCCCGCCCAGGTGCGCACAGGTGTGCACAGGTGTGTCACAGGTGTGTGAGCACACAGGTAACTCAAACCCAGGTGCGCACAGGTGTGTCACAGGTGTGTGAGCACACAGGTAACCCCAGGCCAGGTGCGCACAGGTGTGTCACAGGTGTGTGAGCACACAGGTAACTCAAACCCAGGTGCGTGCCCGCCCAGGTGCGCCCAGGTGTGTCACAGGTGTGCCCAGGTGTGTCACAGGTGTGCCCAGGTGTG